AAAAAGCGATTGGATGCATCCAGATTAAAGTCATTTATTTTTATTGATATTGTGAAGATCTAATGGTGTTTTCACTTTCACTTTTGAAAAAAGTCAATAAAAATGAAGCAATATTTATTTGTTTCTTATAATATTGAAGGTTATAAGAATACGACTAGAATTTAATAGAAAATCGTTACTTCAGTTGCACAAATATGTGCTTTTTAAGGAAATTTTCGAATGTTTCAATAATTATTATGATATTGATTTTGGTGTTCTGATTTAAATAAAACGAGACTAATATTTTTTTGTTAAAAAATTTTGATAATTTCTTTGTATAAAAATGCCAACAATTAGATTACCATAAAATTTGATTTGTACAGTTGCCACAGAAAGTAACGCTCCGATTTGTGTGTGTATAGACAAATATATGCACTTTTTGTTATTGTTGACCCTAAGATTTCAACGATATGGCAGCCTTCAATAGAAACCAAGCAGATTACTCTAATAAATCTGCTTGGTTTCTAATGACGGCTGCCCAATATCGTTTATTATTATGATGGGCTCTTTTCAAATAATTTTTGACGAACATTATTTCTTTTCGAAATTTTTCTTTTTGTTTATAACAAATTTGCATATTTTATAATCGAATCTAATAATAGCAATTCGCGGGAGAAAATTTATCTTTTCTGATTCTCTTTTTGTTCCAGAAACATGGAGACTAATTACCTTAGCAAAAATTAAATTACCTCAGAAATTTATAAATACGTGTCCTTAGTAAGAATCATTATGAATATAATTAATGTCAGTTGAATTGAAGAAATTTTTAGATGGTTAAACTTTTTGTCATGATTAGTATTCTGATCAAACCTTCAGTAAGTTCAATAAAATCGAAACTTCAGATTCAATTTTTGTATATATTATTATATCAATTTCTAGCAGAAACAAGGTTTATCTATGATGGATTGTAATACATCAATAATAAATAGGTAATACATGTACTATTATTTCCTGCATGATCTCCGGAAAGAATCAAGGCTCCTTCAAGCAAAGCTCGGAGAAAAATTCCTCGAGCACCATTTTCATCTCGATCCATTACAGCCCCACAACTTCGGCACTTGTACATCTCAGATCCTTCTATTTTTTGAACACTCCCACACCAGCTGCAAGTTTTTGAAGTATAGGCCTCATTTTTGGATAATAACATGGATTCCTAATTCTTCAGCTTTAGCTACCAGACGTTGGCGAAATTGATAATGAGCCCAACAGAGCATTTTACGAACAGCTTTTCGTGTTATATTTCTTGTTTTTCGATTTATCATATTTGATACCTCAAAAGGAGGAATGATAATGGCATCAAATTCACGAGTAAAAAAATGCAACACTCTTTTTATGAATTTCACTTTGCAGATGTTTGATTTTTCGTATTATCCGAGAAATTGCATTATCAAGCTGTAAGGCCTTTTTATTTTTACATTTTGAATTAGAGGCAGCCAGCTTGTCCCTTATAGAATGAAGATTATCCATATATTTGCATAAACGAATAACTCATATTGGCCAATTTTACCTACACCTTTAGTAGGAGAGTACCATGTGAAGTGTACGAACGTCATGATCAATGGAAACTGCATGAACAAAACCATCCGCTTGGGTTTCGCGGAACTGTTTTTGCATCTCATAAACCCATGAAAGTTTCTATTCATTAGTTTTACGAATATATGTACAATCAGATGTTATCTTGTGAGAAATAGGCCACTTATTATTACACCTTTTTTTTTTTTCAAAATGAAGAGACCACAAATCACGTTTATCATGATCCAAAGTGATAACAGACTTATGGCGATGTGTGAAAAGCATTGATGGATTGTGAAGATAGGTGACATAAAAACGATTCCATATGGATTTTGAAAAATTTTGTGAACGAATTGTTATTGTTTGTCACAAATCTTTTCGAGATCGAAATGATAAAGATGAACCTTGTTGCTTTGTATTTGATCCTATATTATGGTTAATTATCTTATCCCTAAAATTAATTAAAAAAAATCCGAAAAAAAATTTTAAAAAATAAAAAAATGAAAAAAAATAATAATCCTACCTAGCAGTAATGCTTCATCAATTGCCTCATCGATAATATTTGCAGGTGCTATGCCATATGTACCTTGAAGCAGCATTCCAATACGCACAATAGTTCGTACGAATTTGCGTTCACCCCATACACATGATTTTGAAGTTTCTTGTCCTCATGTTCATTAACATCTTTTCCTACATGTCATCTGCATAAAGTTTAAGTTTATCTTTAATAGGTTGAGGTTTACCCAAACGCGTTGTGATGGACCAATATGTGAATTCTTGGTATAGAAACGGCGGTATCGACTCCAGCGAACAACTGCATTATAAGCATATCTCGTCAAGCCAATCCAACGTTTCAATAGCTGCTTTTGAGAGTGATTTGGATACACTTTGATTAGCAGTGTACGATTGAGAATGGCTTCCAAGTGTTGTCGCTTGTTGCGCACTGATGTTGTCCTGATCTTTGTCTTGCGCTTTTTTCCTAGCCTGGCGTTCTCGTCGGTGAATAGCGGCTCTTCTTCCTTGCATTCGGCAGATAAAGACTGTGTTGATTGCAAGGATATCTTGGGAAAGTTCGTGTTCATCGGAGGTCGTATTGTCGAAGAGAACCACGAGTTTTGTAGTATGGAGGGAGAGTATATACTGGATGAGGTCGAAGGTGAAGCGGCAGAGTCGGTCACGATGGGTAACCACAATTTCTGAGGCGATTCCGCGACTTGTCTGTTCCAATAAGGTCTTAAATTCTGGTCGTTTGAAGTTGACACCCGATCCAATATCGCTGATGAGTTCGTAGGTTGGAAATCGGGAGCTGAGGAGTTGTTTCTGCCGGCCAAGATCCTCTTTTTGCTTGACACTAGAGACCCGAGCATAGAGGAACCCTTTTTTTGGTGGTGGTGGTGGTGACGTTGTTATCGACATATTGTGAAGTCAACTTTGGAAAAATAGAAGATATGTTGTAAAGGCGGGTATAGATACGAGTGGGATCATGAAGAAAATAAATTGTTGAAATTATTCCACAATTCAAATCAAATTACGTCAGAGTTTATAAACGAGGTAAAAATAAACATTTTCTAAAGCAAGTTGCTTTTTTTTGTTTCTAATACAAACAAGTATTTTAAAAATAGATTCAAACTAGTATCAGAAGGAGACGTTTTAGCTGTAATCTTTCCTTGCTTTAACCATCGACGCAGGGTGTCTGAATGACAGACTAAATAAAATATGAAAAGTATTTTAAATAGTATCTTAAACTATTAAAAATGATTAAAAGAAGAAAAGGAAGGAAGGAAGGAAAGAGTAAAAGTAATATAAATTATTGAAGTTTTGTAATCATGTTATTCATATTTATATAATTTGGTGTGCGGATAAATACATAAGGAGAGGAAAGATATAGTTTACGATTTTTGATTTATATATCGATATGCTTTGCAATTATTGCAACTGTATTTAACAAGCAAAAAATTGAAACGGTATGCATTCAAAATGCGCAAAACAGATCAGATGAGATTGAGGAAGCTACTCAAAAAGCTTTTAAAAGCTTAAAGCGTATTATGCAATGACTGTAAGTTCTGTATATACCATTTCAACGGGTATATTTAAATTCATGATAGAAGTTCAAGTTCGGCAAAACATCATTAACTTTCTGCTATAATTCTAACAAAAAATACAAGATCTAGCTCTAATCTGGTGGTCAATTCGAAGTCAAATATTATAATATTAATGAAAATATATAATGTTTTCTTCATGAGTTAAATTTTAATTACATAAATCGAGCTCCGACTGTATTGATAAAGAACTCTCGTTATCTAAGTAGGAATGATTTACCAGATAGAGATATGGGATTACAGCAACACGTACTCGTCATTATTGAATACTTTATATAACGATAGTTTTATTAAATAACGCTATCTTTAGATAAAAATATCCAAATAGTCCATTCATATTCATGCTTGAAAATCGTCCGAAACCAAAGATTTTCAAACCATTAATGGTATTTTCGAAGAATTAATCCAACAAATACAACATTGCAGAGCACGTCGAAAATAAAAATATTTTAAACTGCTGAAACCTGCAGAAGTTTTATTTAGTAATATAAAGATTCTTGATATCAAACAAAGATCTAGATTGTCATGTATGTGGAAACCAGAAATTAATTACAATATAGATTTACAAAGTATTAAATTTATTTTATATCCCTTTTAATGTTCTGTTTCCTTCCCTTTGCCCATGTCTATTTCCCGCTCAGTTTGCCTTTCCCTTTCCCTCTCCCTTTCCCTTTCCCTTTCCCTTTCCCTCTCCCTTTCTATTTCCATTTCCATCTACATGTACTTGTCCATTTCCCCTTAAAATAGTAATAGCGCGTCCAGGAATATTTCCACCTTTGAAAACATCAACACAACCGGCTGGATTTTCACATTCACATTTACCAACAATATACAAATCTGTGCCGTTTTGACCACCAAATTCGAGATTAGTCACATATCTCATACTTGTTTTAATTGTGGCCAATAGTTTGCCAGTTGGTGAGAATTGTTTCACTTCACCGCCTCCATTACGAGTGACGTAAAGATTTCCTCTGATGTCGGTGCGCATGCCATCAATGTCAATGTTTTGGGTTTGATCGAGTTTTGCAAAGTCAACGAAAATATCTGGTTTTCCGATTGTCATGCCAGTTTCTTGGTCTAATTTGAAACGAAGAATTTTGTTGGAGATTACTATTCCGTTTTTGTTGAATGCTTCCGATAAGTAGAGATATTTTTCGTCGGGTGAAACTTCAATTCCATTTGTACGACCAAAAACGCCTAATCTGATAGCCTGTTATTTGTTGAGATAGTTGTATATTATTAGAATTTATTCAATAATTCAAATTTTAATTATTCGAAAGCTAAAATTAATTTTTACTTACTTTAGTTGATTTTCCATCGCATAGCCATAAATCACCATCACCTATTTTAGTATCGTTGGTAAACCTCTGCCCAGAAAGATAAACACGACCAGACGTAGTCACAGCCAAGTCATTTGGTTGAACCATACGCTTATCTTCACAGAACACAGATTGTCTTATCCTTTTTCCACTTTTTACTAGTTTCAATACGCGATGTTGTTGTACATCACCAGTTAATGCGATTTGTTCGTTCTTATTCTTTGAAGGAAGGAATCTGATAGAATTGAACCAACTCATATTTTCTCCTCTGAAGAACAATTCTTGGGTAGGATAAGCTTTTCCAAGTTGGAAAACCTCATATTGGAAATCGACTGCATATAATTCACCCTTCTCATTTACTGCAGCACCTTCGATAAGCGGACCGAATTGTGAGGTGCCATTGGTTATCAATTGGGTAGCAGTGAATGTTCGTTCAGATGGATTGTTTGGTTTGTTAATTGCAGTTGCTTCTGATCCTTTTGATTCTCCAGTTTTCGATGCTTGCGGATTGTTTGGTTTTGTAATAGTAGTTGCTTCTGATCCAGTTGTCGACGCCTTAATTGTACTAGTAATCGTCTGAACAGTAGTTTCTCCTGATCCAAGAGTCTTCGTTATTGTAATTACAGTTGTACATGCTTCCGGATTATTTTTCGTGATTACTGTAGTTTCTCCTGAATTTCCAGTGGGAACTGTGGCAGTGCTAATTTTGGTTGTTCCAGCTTTCGGCGTCTTAGTAATTGTCTGAACTGTAGTTTCTCCTGATCCAAGAGTCTTCGTTATTGTAATTACAGTTGAAGATACTTCCGGATTATTTGTCGTGGTTACTGTAGTTTCTCCTGAATTTCCAGTAGGAACTGCGGCAGTGCTAACTTTAGTTGTTCCAGCTTTCGACGACGTCCTAGTAATTGTCTGAACTGTAGTTTCTCCTGATCCAA